GTGACGCCCTGTCCGGGGGGTGGTCCGCCGGCCGTAAGGGGGATTGTCTTCTGGTTTCCAGCTTCCCAAGTAGCAGCGTGTTGGTCGCTGGCTTCCCATTTCCCCCAGAGACTGCCGCGGCCAAGTGGGTTTCGCGGGAGGCGTTCTGGAGCGTTTCCGTCGCAGCCGGTGTCACGAGGCGTGCCAGCCAGGGGCGGGGACGGTGTGCTCGCTGTCTTTGCCGTTGATTTAAATTGCCCCTGGCACCCCATTTTGGCCCTGGCTGGGTGGCTCAGTTGGTTAGAGGGTCGTCCTGATGCGCCAGGGCTGCAGGTTCAGTCTCTGGTCCGGGCACATGCAAGAATCATACAAGGAGATAAGTGGAACAGCAAACCTGTTTCCCTCTCTCCCGCCCTCCCCTTCTTGTCTCTCTCCCTCCCCTTCTTGTTTCTTTCTAAAATCAATCAATAAAAAAGACATTTAAATCGCCCCGTGCCAGCCCTCCTCCGCCTGCCCACAGGTGGGACAGTTGCGGGCGGACGCCCGTCGCTCCTCTCCCTGCGCGCCCGGACTCGGCTGCGGCCTCGGTTTTAATTACGTCGCTCCCCGAGGCCCTGCAGACGCGATCCTTCCACAGCGACGTTCGCTCAATTATTTGCTCAGAAGTAAACAAAAGGATTGTCACTGTGAAGAACATGACCAAGACCCCTTTGGGGAGCGTGGCTTGTGTTTCCCGCACCCGACACTCTGATTGGCATTTATTTCCCGGTCGGGCATCAGTTACACGGCGCCTGTTAAAAGGCCGCAGCGAGGAGGCTTCCCGTCGGCCTGGGGGGCCAGTCAGTGACCACGTTTACAGCCGCGGCCTTGGAGGTTCCGGCTCGAATGTTCTCGAGTCTCCACTGTAGGCGGCTTCAGTTTTCTGTGAATCTCGAAGTATCTTCCAAAAGCGTTTGCCCCTTCGGGACGTGATCCTCACACTGAGCTGCGGTTCTGCGTGGGGCCTAGAGCGGCGGAGGGGCCACCGGGCCCACCGAGCCCACCCGGCTCCTTCCTCCTCAGAAGGAACAGGTTGTGATTACATTCACTTCCAAAATTTTTAAATTTAAGTGGTAGAGACTTCTCTTTCTTAAGTCACTTTTTTTGTTTTGTTATTATTTTTTTTAATATCTCTTTATTGATTTCAGAGAGAGGAAAGGAGAGGGACAGAGAGACATAGAAACATCAATGATGAGAGAGTCATTGATGGAGCCCGCAACCCAGGCATGTGCCCTGACCGGGAATCGAACCCTGATCTCCTGGATCCTAGGTCGATGCTCAACCACTGAGCCACGCCTGGTCGGGCTTTTCTGTTGTTTTTAAAATATGTTTATTGATTTCAGAGAGAGGAAGGGAGAGGGAGAGAGAGAAACATCGGTGATGAGAGTCACTGACCGGCTGCCCCCTGCACGCCCCCGACTGGGGATCGAGCCCACAACCCGGGCCTGTGCCCTGACCGGGGATCAAACCAGTGACCTCCAGGGTCATAGGTTGACGCACAACTGCTGAGCCGCGCTGGCCGGGCAGGGCTTCTCTTTAAGTCCCTTCTCAGGTGACTGCCCGAGGGGTCCGCGTTCCTGAGCGGAACCGAGTGTACGTGATGCTGATACGGCGGCGAAGCCAGAGGAGCTCCCCGCCCGGCTGCGGGCGCCTCCCCGGGGTGACTCCCTGACGTGTCGGCTACGGCCCCGCATAGGGGGTGGCCTCAGGTCCCTGGAGGGTGTCCTTAGCCAAACCCTGGTTCTGAATCCTTCCAGACGAGCAACGGAGGCGGGAGCCTGAGCGACTACTCGTCCTCCGTCCCCTCGACGCCCAGCACCAGCCAGAAGGAGCTGCGCATCGATGTCCCCCCCACGGCCAACACCCCCACGCCCGTCCGCAAGCAGTCCAAGCGCCGGTCCAACCTTTTCACCGTGAGTGTGCTTCCGAGGGTCCCCACGAGCGCTCCTCTGCCCTCCGGGTGGTTTGGTGACCCTTGTGGAATCCAAACTAAATCAGTGAGGTTGATTTCCGTGGAAGTCGTAAGAAAATCGGGATGCAAAGATTTGGATCCTGAGCAAAATGGGAATTTCTGGGTGTTCGGGGAGTTCTGATTCATGTGTCAGAAATGAAGGGTGAGCCCTGGCCGGGTGGCTCAGTCGCTTGGAGTGTTGTCCTGTGCACCAAAAGGTTGCGGGTTCGAACCCCGGTTGGGGCGAGCACAGAAGGCAACCAGTCAATGTTTCTGTCTGTTTCTCTGTCTTTCTCTCTCTCTCTAAAATCAGTAAGAATATCCTCAGGTGAGAGTTTTTTTAAAAAATAGGGGTTTGTACAAAGATACCTGTGGTCCTATAGCTAGAGACTTGTCACACTGGATACAAGAGATGACAAAACTCTGCCAAAATCCCCAGCCATGTGCGCCTGGCCTTTCACAGACGCCCTGCTCGTGGGTGCTAGAGGCTCGTGACAGCAAGGCCCCCACCTGGGCCCTTCTCCAGAGCCACCTGGGGAGCATTTAAAACTGTAGGTCAGCTCTGGGCCTGAGGCTCATGAACTCAGACTCGGTGCTGGGGGCCCCAGCCCGTGCAGCTTTCACAAGCTCCCCTGGTCGTTGGGGTGCAGAGAACCCCTGAACTGCAGGGGACCCGGCTCTGCTGCCTCCGCGTCCCATCCCGCACACCCGGGACATCACCGTCAGTCAGAACTCCGACAGCCCCGGGCAGGCCTCCGTGGGACCCCAGCCCTTGGACTTGAGAACATTGTCCCTCCGGGACTATGTGCGTTACACGTACGGGGTGTCCCCGTGGAGGAGTGCAGAGGCAGGAACCATGAGAATAGCAGTAACTCTGAAGGCACATTGCCCTACCCGGTGCTGTCTGCGCGGCCTGGCATCAACCCCATTGGAGGGGAAGGAGGGGCTCGGAGGAGGGTGGGTGGACGGGCCTCTCCCCGCTCCTTCCCTCGGCACACGGGTGCGGCCCTGAGCCCGGGCACCCGGGACGGGCTGAAACCCAGCTGTCCAGGCCAGGAGCCCGGGGGCCAGAGCCAATAAAAACCCCTCCTCACAGGGCCTGGGGTCTCCCTTAATTGTGTCGCCACGAATGGACCGCATAATACACAGGTCTGCCCGGGCTGTGCTTCATCTGTGCCATGTCTTCCTCTCAATGCTGGGCAACAGTTTGCTCGTGAACCGCCTTAGACATTGAATCCAGCCTCACCAGGGTAGTTCGCAGGAGCAGAAACTAGGGCTCCTGCAAGGAGCGGCGATGGGTTTGCTTCCTGGCGTTTAAGGAAACAGTGGGAATCCTGGGGTAGACATCGCACAGCGGAGCCGGTGGTGGTGGTGAAGGGCTTAGAAGTGTCAGCGCCACTAGATGTCACTGTCCCCCAAGGAACGAAAGGGTGAATGAATTTTGAAATTGTAGCAATTAAGGAACTAAATTCTCATTGCTACCAGTTTATACCTGTTCCTAAAACGTGAGATTTCAGACTTCTTCCCTGGTAATTGTTAGTAATTATTGGCCTAAATTG